CGCCGGCTCGGGCCGGTGTCTTCCGGCGTCTGGGGAGAAATACGTACGCTGACGTCAGAGATTAGACGGGGGCAACCTTGCTGTCGTCACCGGCATGGTATAGTGGTGCAGTGTTGAGCAGGCAGGTTTTTTCAGTTAATAAATGAGTTTTGGTCCGTAGTTTGACCTACGGTAATTTTTAAACATTTCCTGCGTGCCCATACAGCAAAAATCTCATTGATGTTCTGTGGGATTTAATTTTATGAATTGGTAGGATCTAATTTCCAAACTGACAGCTTAGGTTTCAGTTGTGAAATTAATGGGATAGGAAGGGCATCTGTGAATTAAATTCTCTGGGTTTTGTATACATTGAATTAAGAATATATGTATTTTTTCATGTGAATGCTTCTGAAAGAAAAAGAAATGAACCAGAGAGCTCCACTTTGGCACGAGTGCCAAAAACATTGCTGTAAGCGTGGCCAAATATGCAGCATGGCTGGTTGGCTGGAGATTAAAACTTAAAACAAAATCATGTTTTCAGGTGCCTTTTAGGATGTGTATGATTGTAGGTGTGTATACATAAAATGAGAAAAACTCAACCCTTTCTTTAATTTGACTGCACAAAGGCTTGTTTTTAATAAAATGGTGAAACACATCTAGAGAGGTAGTACATACAATTCTATACATGGCTGCTGAATGTGGTACCTAAAATAACACGTCGTTTGCAAATATGGGAAACTTGTGCATTAAAGAATAATTTCAAAATTAATATCAAATTTACAGTTTAAGAGAGAACTTTGGGTTTTGGAGCTGGAGTGCAGAGTATTGATGAGAAAGAAACATCTCTGTATTTATTTTCAATGAAAGAATTTTACTATCAAATTACATATAATTTTACGGAAGCAGTCTAATGTGACTGTGTGTATTTGTGCTATCATAGCTTACATGTTAACAGAAAGTCTGCAAAGAAAAGGTTTGCTTTTTTCTTTGTTTTCGTTTCCAAAGAATGATTCTATGCTTAAAGCACAAGTTTTGACATTTTAAAATAGGAGGTCTAATTGTGCTTTGCCACATTGTCTGCATGGCTTTTGGCAAATTATTTAACTTGTGAGGTCATTTATTTTCCTGTAGAGTTAGTATTTTCTGTGTCAAGCCACATGCTTGACCAAAAGGTGGATGAATAGTTAACGTTTTATGTTTTAAAACAACAGTGCTGACACTGTTGAAAGGAGGAAGAATTGAAAAAACTAGACAGATTACAAGGGTGGAAGAATTGTCTGGATTTTTTTGGCGGGTGTTTTTGTTTGAATTTTTTAGATCATGGTCTTATGATCAAAGACAGTTGTGCCAACCCATGTTTTGAAGGCTGAGAGTTTTCATTTTAGGGGGCCATTTTTAGAGCACATGTATCTTTTCAGATGGGTGAGGAAGAGTGGTCAGTTTGGAGCCTGTCACCTCTTTACAGTGTGTGTATGTGTCTCTCTCTCTCTAATCCAATTTGGAAAACCTGTTTGAATTCAAGTCTAAACGTAAGTGAGAACTCTTTGTCTCTACCTGCTTTCAGGATGAACTTTTTATTTTACTTTCTGGAGGCAGTTATTCAGAGTTCTTTTTTCTTTCTTTTATGCACCTAGTAGTTTTTCTTGGAGGGTAGTGGTAAAGTATGTTAGTGTACTTTAAGTTAAATTATTGTATCTGTGGTGGGTTGACCTTGTCTGGATGCCAGGTGCTCACGAAGCTGCTCTATCACTCCCCCTCTTCAACTGGACAGGGAGAGAAAAATATAATGAAAGGCTCATGGGTTGAGATAAGGACAGGGAGAGATCGCTCACCCATTACCATCACGGGCAAAACAGACTCAACTTGAGGAAATTAATTTAATTTATTACCAATCAAAAATCAGGGTAGGGTAATGAGAAATAAAACCAAATCTTAAAACACCTTCCCCCCACCTCTCCCTTCTTCCCAGGCTCAACTTCACTCCCAAATTCTCTACCTCCTCCCCCCGAGCGGCACAGGGGGACAGGGAATGGGTGTTGTGGACAGTTCATCACATGTTGTCTCTGCTGCTCCTTCCTCCTCACTCTTTTCCCTTGCTCCAGGGTGCCCCACCCCTGGGAGACAGTTCTCCATGAATTTCTCCAACGTAAGTCCTTCCCATGGGCTGCAGTTCTTCACAAACTGCTCCAGTGTGGGTCCTTCCTATGGGGTGCAGTCCTTCAGGAACAGACTGCTCCAGCATGGGTCCCCCACAGGGTCACAAGTCCTGCCAGGAGCCTGCTCCAGCGTGGGCTCCTCCCTCTGCGGGGTCACAGCCTCCTTTGGGCACATCCACCTGCTCCGGCATGGGTCCTCCCCGGGCTGCAGGTAGATATCTGCTGCACCATGGATCTCCATGGGCTGCAGGGGGGCAGCCCGCCTCACCATGGTCTTCACCATGGGCTGCAGGGGAATCTCTGCTCTGGTGCCTGGAGCACCTCCTCCCCTCCTTCTTCACTGACCTTGGTGTCTGCAGCGTTGTTTCTCTCATATTCTCACTCCTCTTTCCCAGCTGCTGTTGAACAGCATTTTTTTCCCCTTCTTAAATACGTTATCCCAGAGGCGCTACCACTGTCGGTGATGGGCTCAGCCTTGGCCAGTGTCAGGTCCGTCTTGGAGCCAGTGGCATTGGCTCTGTGGGACATAGGGGAAGCTTCTGGCAGTTTCTCACAGAAGCCACCTCTGTAGCCCGCTTGCTACCAAAACCTTACCACATAAACCCAATACAGTATCCTCAGAACACAATATACTAACAACAATACGTATTCTATTGGGAAATTCATGGAGACTAAGAAGAATCAGAAGGACTAAAATGAACCTGAAAATGAAGTAGTCTTGGTGAAACAATAGAAGAAAATGCTTCAGCCATTTTTTAAAAAAAGAAAAAGATGGGAAACTAAAATGTGCGATTGAATTAATAGGAAATGACTATTTCAAAATATATGAGGCAAAATTTGTTTTCACTAAAATTGACATTGTCTTTTTGTATTTTAGAATCAGGTGCTGTTTTCACGTTTGGAAAAAGCAAATTTGCAGAAGATATTCCTAGCAAGTTCTGGTTCAAAAATGACAAGCCTGTACTTATATCATGCGGAGATGAACATACTGCTATTGTTACAGGTCAGTATTGGAAATGGAGTATATGATAAAAGGTTATATATTTGGACAGCTTGGAAAGTTATGATTCTTAAATGAATCCTGAAGTAATATATAATATAATCGGATTGTGTGTGTGGGGTACTCTTCTGTGGGGGCTATTGGATGCCTTTTAAGTTAGTGTGAGGTCACTGAAGGTTTTCACAAGACATGCCCAAGAACTGTCATGAGTGAATGGGTAATAACTGAATGTATCACACTGGATTTAAAGTAAGCATGACTTTGCTCAGCTTGAATGTTTCCTGTGAATCTGACAGTATTTAGTAGATAATCTTAAATATAGAGGTTTTTATCATGGAAGTAAACAGTATCTGTTGAACACAGTCAACAAGTTCACTAGGAATCTGCCTGAAACAATACATAAAATTGTATCTCTGAAATTTAGATTTGAATTACTGTTAACTGTCAACTGAAAATAACCCTTGAAAGAGCAACACAAAAAACTTCAGAAAATCCTTCTAAAATCAGAAATAAATTGCAAAAGCATTCAAAGAAGCTCAGATGCAATACAGTGAGCAGTATTTATGTTCATTTTCATTTCTTTGAAATAATGGAAGCAATACTCATTGAAGAACTTGTTCAATTTATTTTACGTGGAAGGGGCTACTGTTTTGTTGATGAGCATGTGTGTTGATTGTATTGACAATCAACTGCTGATACATAATAAGACTTTGTTGTTATGAAATTCATATGCATATTTTCAGGACTTTTTTATTGGAATGTATTTATTCCTCCTCAGTGCCCAATTGGTCATTGCTCATTAAATAATTTTTTGAGGGTTTCTTGCTATGTCCCCAAGAAAAGTTGAAGATGCTGGATTTTTAGAATGAACAATTCCAGGCATGATAAAAGGAGAGCATAGATTTCATGGACTGCAGAATATCTTGAAGTGAAATTATACGATGAATTTTTCAAGCCTAACTTCATAGAAGATGAATTATCCATGAATAGTTTGTGTTTTGAACAAAACTTGACACTTTTTCTTGGATTGCACCAGTTCTGTTAAATTGCCTGTTGCATAAAATTAATCAGAATGTAACCTGGGGCACTGTGAAATTTTCCTTTTGAAATTTTTTTATATATTTCCTTTCATATGCCCACACCCCCTTTGAAATAACACTACTATAATTCTCAGTTTAGACTAGTCAATTTAAATTGCCTCCCTGAGTTCCCCCAGCATGTGCATGTGCCAGCACTGTTACCCTAATTGGCAACAATCCCCTAATTCCTTGTCACTGTAATAGCAGCCACTTAGATAAAGCTTTTGAAAAGTCAACTTGCATAGGTTTGCATGAGCACTGTTTCTCTACTATCTCCCCTTCTCCCTGTTACTTTAATACATACAGCATGTTTCAAAAATGTCCCTGTAGCTGGCTTTTGCTGTTGTAGTGTGCAGATACGTCACCAGGGAAACTTCTAGATACTCAAATCTTTATTTCCTCAAAGCTTTTGAAGAGAAGGAACTGTAGAAGCACGAGTACAAAATTTCTTTGGTACCAAAAGTTTTTCTGGGACGTTGTAAAGTAGAGGCAAAGAGGGTAAAATACTGATCAACAACAAGCAAAGGTAGAGAAACGGCAAGAGTTGTACAAAAAAGTGAAGAAGGGAAACAGAAAATCTTTGTCCCTCATTTGTTCTTCACACCTGTGCGTGCCCGTGTGCACCGCACATTTCTGCTGTTAGATGGAGTTGGATGATACAGTGGAATTACAGTCCTTGGTGAATGACATTGAACTGCAGTAACACCTGGAATAAAAGCTCCAGAAGTGCATGCCGATAATGAGTTTACTGAGAAGGGTACAGACCTTGTGGGAAACCAGGAGCTTCTTGAAATCCAGCTGAACCTGACCTGGAAGAGATAAAAGACAAACATCACTGAGAAAGGAAAAGTATCTCAAGCAGGTGTGTGTTAATGCATGCTTCATTTTATTTTCAGTCTTTACTTACAGGTCACAAAATTCCCCGCTTCTTTTTTTTTCCACCCCCTGGAAGTGGTAGTGGGACTTATGTATGTAGGGGACAATGGGAATATGAGATAGATTCAAATCTGATAGAAATATATCAGTTTTACACTAACATATCTCAATAACCATAAGTAAAATAATCACCCAAACTGATACAAAACATTCCTTAAAGCTGGTTTTGGGTAGGAGAGACAGCTACATCTAGCACTGAATCTTGACTGAATGCAAATGAAGAAAATGTACAGGAACTAATATTTAGCATTCAAACAAAATATTCAGAAATTTTCAAATACTTCTTTAATCTAATCCAGCATCAATATTCCCATATGGCTTTTAGGAAGAAAAGTGTAAAGTAAATATAAAACACACTGTTCTTTGGCTTTCTAGGTCAGGAGTTAGAGTCCAGAATTTTATTTACATACTATGGCTGTATGTTGGAATAGGAAGTGATAGTTACTTGCTGACTTTGAGTTGGCTTGCTGAGCTAGTCAGAGAAACATTTCCTCCTCCAGTTTTGGAGTTTGGGATTGAAATTTGTGTTTCTTTATTCATTTGCTCTGTACCTTTAGCACAATATTCATTAAAATGTTCAAGCAGGAATTCTTTTAAGCAGTTGTCTTCTTTAGTTCTTTAACACAGTCATGTGTTACACGCTCCCTGCATCTTTTATAACTGCAGGCTTTGGAAAGCAATTTATTCATCCTGTTGGGAGCTGGTGTGAAATAAGTGATATTACACATATTTTTAAGAATGTCCTCCCAATACCTTTCTATTAATTTTATTTTCTACAAAATGCTTAAAGTTAACAGCTGTCTCATTGTTTATTTGCCTTGATTAGAGTGTCCTAGGCAGCTTGCCCACATTTGATCAAAGAGACTGATCCTGATCACAAGGCGGGAAATGGTCATGATGGAAAACACATTTTCTGAACTCAGCTCTGGAGAGAATTGAAGCCCGCAGTGCAAGAGGGTAGAAGGAAAGAAAGAAGTTACCAAGTGTAAAAGTAGGAGTGAAAAGAGGTGCATGTGGAACCACAACAAGATAGTATACTCATAATTTCGAGTTTTGTAAGGCATTAAACGTTCAACAATTTACACCAAAGAGACCTTGGAATCTCTCCAGGTCTTTGGACACCAGACTTCTTCTATTCTTTCTGCCTACCAGCAGGCCATCAGAACATGGCACAGTATCTTTTACAGCTGCAAGGGGAAAATGAGGAAGATTAGTACATGTTTGTGTTGATCTTTGATATGTGTAGGAGCAGGCAACAAACTGTGCTGGTTTTGTTTTTGTGATACTAAATGTCCTAAGCATGACTGTTCTTATTGCTCAATAAAGCTTTTATTTTGAGAATATCGTGACTTGCCTAACAAAACTGATGTCATTCCCATTTTCATGAGGTTTATTTGAAATGTATATGAATTTTATATGAACTGTTAACATAGTTTATTCACAAAATAGCACAAATAAATACAGAAAATCATGGTGCCTGGCAAATGATACCCTGTCCAAAATATTACCTTTTAAGTCTTCTTCAGATATAGCTTCTCAATAGAATCCTGTAATAAATGCTCAAAGTGTGCACATTGTCTCCCCATTTTATTTCCCTCCGACATTAATATAATTTAGAAGGCAAGGGGGGGAATATGTAAAACATACCTTTAAACATAGGTGATAGGAATACTTGGCTGCCTGCTATTATCATGAAGCATGTTGAGGATTTCAGCTGGTATTTCCCAGCTGCTGAATGAATGCCTTTAGTAGCGCTTCATGAACCAGGGGAGCACATGACAGATGGGGTTCCCAGGAATCACAGTTGTGATAGCAGCTACGCCCATGAGAAATGTACTGGTTAGGAGACACTCTCTTCCTGAGGTGTCTCACAAAATCCTCTGTTCCTAAAGATGTAACATCTTGTGGCTTCCATAATAGCCCTGAATTAATGTTGGTGAAACATCTGCTGGTGATAAGCCAATGCATACATACTTTGGAGAAATACTCCAGTCCTGCATGAAGATGAAGGTGGAGACTGGTGTTGGAAGTATGTTTTCATTACCAAAACAGTCCTAGTAGTCCCTTTCTTTATATCCTGTTGTTTCCCTTCTGCTGCCGAGAGTCATAATCTTACTCTGTTGGACCTGTCTTCTGCCAGCCATTCCAGATGGCAGATGGCCACAATCTCTGTACGTCAGCACCAAGGTGGAAGCAAAAAGACAAGAGCAATCTGAGTTTGCGAAGTTTTGAAATATGATCCTTGCCTATTTGTCTGCTGTTGAATTGGTTCTCACTTCAGTGCATCTGTGGTGATGACTGGAGGTATCTCAGTATGCAATTATGAAAATAGGGCCTTTTGCATACAAAATTCTGTTGTGTTTCCTGGCCAGCTTAGATTGCATCATGTCTGTTCCAAAACCTGATTTGCTGTACAGATCCAGAAATGTTGCTTCATTACAGGCATTTGTTTAGGTTCCTCTGTAGTGCCTGTTAGTTTTCATTCACTGTCTGAATTACCTGCTTCTCAGTTTTCTTATTTTCTGTTACACTGCTAAGTGTTGGAAGTGTGAAATTATAAAAGGCTGTCACTCAGCTGTAAAAGAATGTAAAAAGATTCCCCTCATCTGTTAAGCTCCTTGACTTACAAAGGAATGCCTGGGAATTTAAAGACTGGTATAAGAAACAGCAGATTATAGGATGAAAAGCATGACCTGTTGGAATTTTGAATGGATAAAAGAGAATGTGCTGAAATTGAATTACAGCAGCTTGGCATCATATTCCACAGGAGTACTACTGTCTTATATAGGCACTTAAAAAGTATAAACCAAGGATACAAGGAAGCATATACCAATATAGGATGCCATTTACTAGTAAAAATTCTTTCTGTTAAGGTGCATTTTGCTCTCAGTGACAGACAGCTCTGCATGTGTTTTAATGTGATTGCATTATCAAAATCAGGATGGCGATATAAATGCTATTAGTAGTGCATTAGCGTAGACTTGACCTCAGACTTTCTTCCCTTGCAACTTTCTTGGAAAGACATAATATTGACACATAGTCCCATGTTCCAAAAATTGTCAAATCTAACAATTTGATTGGGACTTTAGATACTAGTTATTGTTAGTTGTTGGTGTTTTGGTTTTTTTTTAACTATGTGGTTATATTTAAGAAAATAAATGAATTTTTTTTTAACAGAGTAAGTATTTTTGTTATCTTTTAAACAGTTGAATATCATATTTCAAAGTCTCTGTAAATCACATTCAGAACCTTCACTGGGAACCTACACTACTGAAGTACAAACCGTCATAATATTTTGGCATTATTATGTGGAATTGCTGTTATGCATTGCGATCATGTGATAATTGTTGACGGGTAGGGTGACAAAGTTTATTTATGTGACAGCCTTGTGATGGGAGCCTAACTCACAAAGCTCTGCAGACCTTCATCAAAAGGAAACAAACTCCTTTTAACAGTTGTAAAAGGTGTTTTTTTTTTTTACAAATCAGTTTCTATTGTTTTGCAAAGATGTCTGTTGGAACAAGGATTTTATCTTTGGGTGTGAGCTTCATAGCTTTACAAAAGGTAATATGAAACGAAATGAATTCATTTTAAGATATTGTCAGTAGTCAGTTTTGGCTGCCTAATTTGCATGCCTAATGACAAAAGTGTAACCTGTTCATATACCATCCTCTTAAAAAAACACTCGTTATTCAGAATGACAACTGTTCATTGTTTGTAATGGTCAACCCTGCAAGTTCAATGACATGTCATACCAGTTTCTGGAATACGATTCTAGCATTGCTCCTGTTGAAGATTTGTAATCAAATGTTTGCATTTAGGTTTACAAAACTCCCTGACTACGTGGTGTTTTTATACATTCCTTCTTTATACGCAGAATAACAAATTAATACAATTTGTGAACACATTTGAAAATTTATCAGGAACCATGTCCTGTAGAAGTGCAAATTTGTAAATCATTTTAAGAGAAGACATTTAGCAGTAAAAGAAATAGCCCCCCCAAAACAATAAAATAAGCTGAATATTACAAATTTGTGTTTGTATTAATTATATAGCTGCATTATTCATTCCTGTCTTTGGCGTAAAAGATGTGGGTGCTCAGTTAAATGTGCTGTTATTTTATAAGTAGGCCTATAGATACTGTGGTTTCGGAATGGCAGGATCTGTCCGAGAGCACATTTTATTTTCTGAAGAGCACTTTATCTGTGCTGTAATTAAAGCAGAGGATGTTTGTTCTGCTTTTTGTCCCTCCTTCTGGCTGGGGATTTCTTACTTAAACAGTGCAATTACTACTTTTGTACTGAAAAACCACAAGGACATTAATTATTGCTTGCACTTAAGTATTGAATTGCCTAATCTTAAACCTTACATTAAAAAGGCAGTAGTAAATAGCATAGTGTGTGAATGACCATCATGTCTTATATCAGGTATTCAAACACTTGTATGGATTCTGACTGTGGTTTTTTTTTTCAGGGAATGGTAAACTATACATGTTCGGCAGTAACAACTGGGGCCAATTAGGACTAGGATCAAAGAACACTGTCAGCAAACCAACATGTGTTAAAGGTTTGTTTAATTTTTCTTTTTTTGTCTTTTTGAAAGAGACCCTTGTGAAAAGGTACTTTATAAGATGCAGTTCCAAAATAACTGATTCTTCCTTCTTTACTCATCATGTGTAGCATATTACTGCACATGCTTATAAAGGTAGCTTAAAAGGATCCCTGACTGATTTTCCATCAGTTCCAGATTCTGGGTCCTTTTGCGTCTGAAGATTACTTCAGATACATAGAATGCTGTCTTTTTTGAGGGCTCTCATTTTACATAATATTTGCCTTTTCTGACAAACCACATCTTCATTGTGACTGCAAAGACATTAATCAGATGCAGCGTTGTCTGTGCGTTAGAAATCAGAGTTCTAACAGCATTGTGTAACCTTTGTATCACTTTTGTCTTAGCACCTTTATAAATGAAAAAATCTGTCAGGGACTTTCTACAAGTACTGCTACATTTTTAGCAAGTGTAAGAAGTGCCTGAGGGGCCATAAATGTTAATGTTTTTATATGATGCAGTAAAATAAATGCCCATATTCTTTCACGTGTTGTAAAATATGTTTTCATTACACTGTTACCTTCTTGATCTTTCCTAGCCGGTTTTATCTTGTCAAACAAAACTAAGTCAATACTTTTTCCCTATCCCCTTACTTAAGTCAGCTCTATCCCATTAACACATTTCTCTTCACCATTAAATGTTTATACTCATCCTTTCTGCCAGCAGATCGATCTGTTAGCTTATTGTTAAAAATAAATTATCCTGCTTGTTCAAACTCTTTTCTACCTGATTTAGTTTATTCTACTGTCCTTTATCTGCTCCTCTCTCTATTTCACTTAGAGGGAGAATGCAGCTACTCTCAGGTTCACATCTTCTGTCAACCATGTGAGGCATTGATTCTTACATTGGCTTAAATTGGTTGGGTGTCAAGTTTTGGTTTTACTGTCAAATTGCAATGGAGAATAAAAGACGAAGAGGACAGCAATTCAAACCAGACCTGGCATCCACTGAAAAAAGTCACAAGGGGGGTATCTTTCTTATCTTGGCAGTAGGCAGCAGGAGGAAGCCCTGGAGCTTTTCTCACTATCTTTCAGTCATCACTTGGCTTTGGGAATGAGGTTGCAAGGACACATTTCAGTTTCTGCTTGGGGCCAAATGGTTGTGGCTGCATGTTTCCTGAGAAGATATCTTCTGGGACTTGACTAAAGACTAATGAAATTGTTTATGAAAAATTGCCAGCAACATTGTAAATATAGCATGGCTCATCACATACAATTGATGAGCCTAAGTGGGAGGAAGGTTAGGGAGCACAGGCTTCTGAAGAGCTGATTAAGATCATCTCTGAAGTTGGAGGCAGAGTTTTGGGATATAAAGCAGCAGGAAGAAGCCAACATTGGAAGTGTTACGGTTCCAGCCTGGTGGTGGTGATAGGTGTCGGATAGGATAGGCAGGAACCTGAATTTGGACAATTTATGTTTGTGTCTGTGTGATAGACCACAGACAGTTCATGCTTAAGTAGATAGATTTATTCAGTAACTTCGTAGAAGGTAGAAGGGACTTTAATCTGAATGTTGTGGAGCTGATGAAGGTTGATCTGGAAGGACTGAAAAAGGGTTTGTGAAAGGAATGATGGTTGTTGGCTTTGTCATGGACTAGTGCAGTGGAAAAGCAATTAAAGATATATTATGTTAAAATAATGCTGTTTTAAGAGCATTGTATAGGGCACGTGGACGTGGCTGAGGGAAGATAAGTTGTTGGCAACGATCAGTAATTGGAGAGAGGATGGAAAAGTTGGTGAGGTTTTTTTCCTTTGTTTCTGAAATAGAGTGCTCTTGCCATGGGAGAAAAGGCACCTCTGTATTCTCTCTTTACCACCAAAATAACTCTTGACTTCTCTCGCATACATTCCCAGCCTTTCACAGTAACCAGACTGCAGAGAAGTACATGCAATGGGTGGGTGGTAATTGAGCTGAAATTGAGACAGGATGGTATATGCAAAAATTTTAGGCACTAGTCCAGATAGGACTGTCCTTAGCAATTGAGTTTAGTGATCAATAAGAGGGCAGTGCAGAGCAAAAGTCTAGCAAAAAAGGTAGGTGTGCATAATGAAGGAAGATAGGGATAAGACAAAAGATTTAAGACAGTGGAGTTTTAAAGATTTAAGGTAGTGGGAAAAGCATAAAAGGGAGTTAAGAATAGTACTGTTAATGAAAACTGAAGACAGCTTTAAGCATGCATTTTGTCCTGCAACTTGGTATATTTTTTGAGGCATATGCCGTAAATGGTAAATTCTGGGGAATGTGGCATTGGGGTGAAGTAGCCATCATCAAACTGACTGTGAGCTATAAGTTTTTAAGGTCTATATCTGTTTTCTTGTCTTGGGGGAATCCTGATTTAATAAGTCATGTGCTAGGTTCAAATGGGCAATGAATCTTGTAATCATTCTTTTGGTAAAAATACGAAAAAAATAAGAGCTCGCTCTAGAGCATAGAACATTTTGTTGTTGAACCAGCTATCAGCTTGATTATAACTTTTCCCCCCCCTTTGGCTTTAATTCGTAGCTTTAAAACCAGAAAAAACAAAACTTGCTGTTTGTGGAAGAAACCACACTTTAGTTTACACAGGTATGTAACCTATATTATATACATATTAAAGATAGATTTCTTCCTTTGCTTTTATGCAAAATTACATTAGGAACCCCAGGAGTGTTGAGGAAGGAAAAACAAATGAAAATGCGACTGTTAAAACTTTGGGTTTTGATACCCAGTTCTTTGAATGCTTGATTTATTCTGAGCCAATGCATTTATAAAATAATGTTATATAGGAGTTTGCTAGCAATAGACAGATGAAAAAAATTCTTGCTGGCATTTGAGGTGTTGTTATCAATTATAAATATTTCATTTAAGCTCTGCAAAGGTATATTTGTATTTTTTACATATCTGTACTCAAATTTACCTTTGACAAGTAATTTATCTTTGTTACTGTGAAGTTATGTATTTGAGTAAATATAGTAGAACTGAATGTTTTCAAGTCTTCAAATTTTGTTAGATTTTGGTTAGACAAGGTAGTCTGCTATTTCAATGACAAGTTGCTTTATTAAGCTATAAATAAATAAGCTGTAAATTTAAACTAAAAAATAAATTTTTAGAGAGACTGTATACAGAGAATTGATGCAAATTCTTGTCATGCTTCTAAAATTTATGTAATGGAATAGCCATCTTTGTGGTTGCAATCCTTTAGCTTGCAGTAAGGTTATAAAGAGGATTGTTTGATTATTAGGAGTTTTATATATGTGGAGACCCTGAGCACTGTAAATAAGCCTATTAGAATAAACCAGAACATTTTAATAACAGTTGAGTATGCAAGACTGCACAGGGTAAATATTAGTCACTTTTAGTGTACATGCTGGCTAGATAATCTGTGGCCATTTATGTAGCAAGGTTCATTTATAAATTGTATGTCAGTTGCTTATCACATTTCTGTCTGGATTTGTGTTATTAATGGGCCTTATCTTTTTCATCATAGATGAGCACTTTAGATGTGAAACATACTAAAATTAAAAATATAAATCTTAAAGTTCTCTTAAGTTCAAGATATCAATCATCAGCTTTAACTTTAATTTCAAGATTCTAAAACAAAATAAAGACCTAGTTAATTAAATCAAAAGTGATTTAAGTATTAAAATGAGTAAATTATTTCTAATAAAAAATGAAGCAAAAATATATTTCATTCACAGTACTCAAAACTATCAAGTTATGCATCTTTCTAATTTACGTACTAATATGACTTCAGTTTTCCTGCCTGTGACATCATTCACCATTTTCCTCCTGCTTTATCTTAAAATATACATTATTTGGGTAAGGAGCTTCTTCTGGCTGCCAGGGCTACTAGTAGTCATTTTCTCAGAACTCTTGCAGAACTTCAAATTATATTTACTTTTTAGATCAGTCTCCAGAATGGTGGGAAATGCAGTCAGTCTAAGTACATGTAAGGCCTTTAGAAAGTTCTGATCCAAGCGTGTGCAGGAAAGCCTCCTTGCTAGCTACAGCAGAAACTGCTAATGTCAACTTGAGGATATTTCAGGGCAGTAGACCACAACTTTTCTGTAATGTTTTTCCATCGAAAATTTAATGACTTGCTCCAGTTTCTCTGACTTTTTACCGCTGATGAGGATTCTGTCTTCATTCTGTGTATTACATGTGCTTTTCTGTATGCAGAAAAAGGAAATGTGTATGCTGCTGGAGGTAACAGTGAAGGTCAGTTGGGATTAGGTGACACAGAGGAAAGGACCACATTTCATTTAATTAGTTTTTTTACCAACCAGCACAAGATCAAACAGCTAGCAGCTGGATCATACACCTCAGCAGCAGTAACTGGTAAGAGCAACTGCTAATAAAATCTATTTATGTGTGTCCAGCTTGGTGTTCCAGGGAAACATTGATTCCAGCATTCTGTCTGCATATGTGGGTGTATTTTCTATGCCTCCCTGTCTTCTTTCCCTAGTAACCATAGTCATTTTTTGATAGCCAATTGCCTATTTCAACACAATCTGGCAAGGGGTGGCAGTCTCATTAACTTCCTACAATTTTTGTGAAAGTAAGACCTTTTCCATGAGCAGTGGCCTGCAATGGGAGCTCAACCTGTACTAGTTTAGTAGGAATCCTTACAAAGGAGAGACAGTATGAATACCCTCAAAATGGGAAAAATCTTCAGTTCATTTCCAGGGAAGCCAGCTACAAAACATGAATGTTATGAAAACTAAGTTTCTCTAATTCCACTTCTTACTGCAACTATTTTGGTCTACTGGTGCAGGCTACACAGCTGTGTCATTACTAATTCTGAGAGAGGCCTATGACCTATTTCTCTGATGGCAGAATTATACAATTGCGACATGTTGAAGTCCACACAGTTATAATACTTTCAGCCATTGGATGGGTGGTCCTTTATTACCCTATAATGTAATTTCTCAAGTTTTGCTATAAAGCAGCAGTTTCCGTACATGTTTAGGATAAGTTATTGAGGCTGTCATTTCAGAATGTGTCAGAGAACATAAGAGTGTATGAAAGAGATGCTAGCCTGCTCATTTGGTTTGTATTTTTTGGTGACAATTGCTAACATTCTCCTGAGATTTGTAAGTCAACTTTGAATGATTTTAGTTCCCAACAGCATCTCAGTAGCACTGTGGATGGCATGTTTTTTTTATTCACAACTTATTTCACACCAATAAGAAATATGCAGAGAGAGGACCTCATCTCTTCTAGAAAAATCCAGAGATTTTTCATGTTGTTCGCTACCTTTTTTTGTGTTTTACTGCTGCCATTGGTCTTTGTGTCAACAGAGGCTGGTCTTAATAAACCTGGAACAGCTATTGTAATAGTTTAAGGAAAACAAAATGAAACTGGGCAATATAATCACCTGTGAAGAGAACTGAAAGATAAGGCAAGAATAAGTGGGATGGGTACCAAAGTCAGAACAAAGAATAAGTCTGGAAGAATGGGAAAATGGTGATTTGCTACTAGAAATGAGAAGATGCCTTAAATTCACCGTAATATTTTCATACTGACCTCTGGCAACTGAATTGTCTTATACACTCAATCTTCCTCTTTTTGAAGGAATGTTTTTACATAGTACTTCTCCTGTTGGTATTTATGGTCTAACGTCAATTGATGACAAAGTGTTCTGTGTCACTTTTGAAAAGCTTAAGGGATACCCTTTTACTTCAGACTGTTGTGTTGCATTGTGCTAAATACCATTTTATGTCCCTGAGATCATGACGTTTAGTAGTATCATACACAGAGTTTATGAAATGCTCTTAAATGGGTTGATTAACTTTTTATTAGTTTTGGTTTTAAATCTGTTAACTATCTGTGTCTTCATTTTAGAGGATGGGCAGCTTTTTGTGTGGGGTGACAATTCAGAAGGTCAGATTGGCTTGGCTGATGAAGCCTGTGTCAGTGTCCCTTGTCAAGTGGATGTTGGAAAACCTGTTTCCTCTGTATCCTGTGGATATTATCACTCTGCCTTGATAACAGGTAAGAGAATGGGCATAGTGGAGACAAGTCAGTAGTTCTCCAACTGTTGTCTTTGTAAAGGTAGCTAATGAGGCATTCATTACTTTTGAAACTAGATATGCCATAGTTGTTAAAAACTGCCATGTGGCAGAAAGTAGTCTACGTAGTTTTGTATCACATTGGGAGATTTTACCAGAGACAGGTTCTCTTAAATGTGGTCCTAATTGATTTATTTGGGAAACTTGTGTGTAATCTACTATATAATTGTATAGTATTGTTGAATTAACAATACTGTGAGAAAAAACTGCAGTTAATTTTCTGCATTTGCATGTTGTTGTGCAAAAGTATATTAGAAAGAATGACTATCTTGCAACACTTCATTTTCATGAAGGTTATAACAGGTGTTGTGGATTAATATTACGGTTTCAATAATCCAACTTCTCTTGAGATTATTCATTTTTGTGTTATGATCAAATAATCATCTTCATCTTCTCTAGAAATATAAATATTGAATAGACATACTATGTTTTGGGGAAAAATTAATCTCATTTGCTAGCAGTGCAAGATTGTTGTCAAAGTTTGATGTTATGTCTTAAATTTTAGATTTTTAAGTCAGTTAAACAGGCAGTATACGATATGAGGAGAAGCATACGCTACAGTGAGTCAGTGTCTGATCTCCAAACCAACCCACCTGTCTGTTGCTTTCCACCTCTCTCTTTCCACCTTTCTATTGGTTTCCAAAGTGATGATGCCACTCATTTTTTCATAATGCTAATATGGGTGAATTTATCAGTGAGTACTGATGGTATTATATATGAGCAGCCATGAATTCCTCTCAGCCATATAGATTTACTTTATTAAGCTTTACAGTTTAGTCCCCTCAGAGTAATTAAAGATTCCGAAGGATCAATATGTTTGATTGCAAAGCTTTTAATGGGTACCCAGGAACTATTCTATCAGATACTTTTCTCAGGTTACTTGATAAATGTTACTTTTCCACATAAAATATCTATATAGCTCTCTGAGAATATGCTGTTAACAGAATGAGAGCTTCCTGTGGTGGACAAATACTGATTAGGTGTTATGGTGGTAGTGTGCAACTTTTATTACAGATGCTTTATTACAGTAAATGAATGAAGTGCCTCTGACTGATCAGGAGCTCAGCACCTGTTAGGAAATCTACAGCTTCCTGAACTCAAAATAAATGGGAAAAAAAAAAAAAAAGATCCTTACTTCAAGGATATAGTAAGGAGGTGTGTATTTCTGCCTTAGAGCCAAGAGCTGAAGCTCTGACAAGACTGCAGTAGGATGTGACAAAAGCTCTCATTAGAAGAAGGGTTGAGGACAAGCATCTAAGATCAAGGAGAGAACAGGGTGTGCCAGGTGCTCTAAGGAAGTGGAAACTTTTAATGGAGGGGGATGAGAAAAAAGGATTAGGGTAGCAGTTGGGTAAGAGGAATGGAGCTTCTTAAAATACTAGTAAGAAGATGAACTGTTTATGACCTGTGAAAATGGGGAGTTGTTGAATTCCTTACTGTTTAAGCAGGCCTGGGTGTGAGATGGAAGATCTTAATTTTCAGCCTTAGTATCTGCAAATCCTGCACAAATTGGGCTTCAATCTACCTCGCTGAAACCACTGACATGCGGATGGCCTCTTTTGTGGTGAAAGGAGAAATTGTTTTTTTATTATTTTCCTTTGGGCCCTTGCTGACAGTTTTATTTGACTGATACTTTAACTACCATAAAAATTTAGTGTTGAACATCCAGGTACTTTTACCGAATTGATCTTCTGTTGCACTAGTGTCAGTGTATATCCAAACAGTTTAAAAACAAAGCTTATCCATTTAATCTAAGTGTACCATAGTCACACATTATTTTAGCTATGAAGTTAGCCATTAAATTATGAATTTGGAAGTTTTGCAAGCTGAGTCTGAGTACAAATGTAGTTACCTTATTTTTCTTACAGGCTAGTTAGGAAGGAAGTCAAGGCACTATGCTGTTAAAAGATTTTGTTTAAAAAAAGGTGATTCTTCTAGTATTATTACAATTCTTTTTTCACTTATGGAAAACACTTCCCTGTAGGACTTGCTAGACTGGCTCAGAACAGTGGTTCACATCCTCGGTATTCTGCCTCTGAGGGGTGGTAGAACATAGCAAACTAGATAATTATGGAGTATTTGGAATATTCATATTACAGGGATAGGGTTTTTTCCCCCCCAAATTGCCAGTTAGTCATTGAATTATGCCTTGAAGCGTGTTTAAAAGTTTGCCTAGCACAGGGAGTTTTCCATGTGTTTTTATTGTATGGTTTTATTTTGTATAATAGAATTTAGAGTGATTGGTGTTATTTTTAATATATATTTTTGGAGGAAATATCTGGAAAAGAAAGTGGTTCTGTATTTCAAGAAATGAAATTTGAACTCTTCAGGTGAGTGTATAATCTGTATTTATTCCCTCAACATCAATAAAGTATACCAGAGGAGCTTTTTTAGATTGTGGTTGCTGTTACTATGGAAGAAATGGGAGAAACACTGTTAATAGAAAGCTTTCAACACCTGTAACTTATCAGTTATTAGAATACCATAGAATTACTACATTTTGATTGATTACTACTTTTTAAACATGACTTGTACATAAAAAAGCATCCAATAATATACTATCTTTAATAATAAAACATAGCTGCAGGATGTAGGACTTGATACATGTTGCCGGCCTGAACTGATGAGCATGGCACCTTATGGTTTCCTTCCTTAATATATTTACGTTTGACATAAACTGTATACTGGCTAAGCAAACTGTTAGGATCACAGGCATATCTGGGTTAAAACTAAAAGGTGGTTAATGAGGATACTAGAATACATAGTGTGATCACAGAGTGCCCTCTCCAGGGCAGGATGTTCATTAATAAGAGACTATTGAGAAAAAAAGTAGTAAAGTATGGATTCCAGCTTTTTTTTTTTTTTTTTAAACTAAAATTGTTATTTCTTTGAAATAGCTGGTTTTATAAAAGATTTTTTAGTGGGCATTTGTCTTTAAGGTATTTAACTACTATAAAGCCAAGTGCAATGTCAACAAGAGTAGAGTGGAATCCTGACGCAAACCTTTAGTAGATCAAAGCATGCTTTATGGAAATTGTATGGCATTGGATCATCTGAATTTGTACTTCAGTTCTACAACCCTCCCTCCACCCCTGATGTTTCTCAAATCTAGTAGCTCCAAAAAGATGATTTGTCACCTTTCTTACTTTTGCTTTTTAGAATGCCTTCTTTGCAGACAATAATTCAGCTACTAAACATGTCAGTCACCTGTATTCTACCATGTACACATGGGCCCCACAGACACCAGAGGTGGTTGTAGAATAGAACAGAATATATCCTGAATTATTTTTAATAAAAAACACTTCTGAAATTTAGACTAGGCACAAGCACAGGCAATGGCTAGCTCATTTCCACATGCAAATTAGAAAGCTGGTCTAGTTACTCACTTCATGTTTGAAAGATGATTGTTTGCTCCCTTTTCCTGTCATTTTGCATTTTTCAAAGAGTTCCACTGAAAAGAAGTTTTTAGTTTATCGTTTCCAGTCCTCTTTAGGACTTTTTCCCAATAGCTGTTTCCTTTCCTTTCTTTTTGCAGACTTGGGATGTTAGGTCCCCACATTAGAGGTATGTCTCAAACAAAGCAACAGAGAAAGAAAGAGCTGAAAGAGGGTAGCAACGATTTTGAGTATACAGATCTCTACTTGACTAGTCTTTGACCTCACTCACTCAAGAGGGGACAATTTTTCAGAGAGCATGAAGCTTGGCAAGCATATGTAGCTCATTTGTCCACTGGAGGAGATGGAGAGCTGGAAAAGCCAGCATATCTAACCACTATTCCGGTGTCTACAGCGGAATTACATTCGTGGAGCCAGAAAGGAATTGAATATATTAAACCTCTTCTGGTGTTTCCCCTGCCTGAACTGTTACTATAAGCAAGGTCAAGATAGATTCCACTGAGAAGATGTCTTTTCATAGAGAGCTTTGTGGGTTCCTTGAATTCCTTTTTTTAATGTACTTTGTCATTATTTTTAAGGATCAGTTTTAAAGATCATCCATTCCACAAACACTTCCATGCTCAGAATTTCAGCATTTGAGGTAGTTTCAACCAATTTGGTCTTGAATAAATACTTCTCTTTTTTTCCTTCATTTATTTAAGGGATCATAGAGTGATCCAATTCTTTTGTCTACTGCTCTCATTTGCCACTAGCCAGGTCTCCTATCTTCTCTCATCTGCAGTATGCGCATTTGCCTTTGAGGGGCAAAAATAGTTTTCCATTCACTTGCCCTTTTCCTTGACGTGCTCCTGTAACCTGAAGTTTAGTGATACAGAAAATGTGCCACACTAGGGAAAGTTCAACACATGAGAATGTGACTCATATGAGAGGAGACAATGAAATAACCAGGTTCCATTGTGAACAGAATGTCCTTAAAATGCAGATGTACTGCACACGTACTGTACTCAAAATTTATCTGGGTTTGACTGGATTCTTTTTATGCTTGATAGCTGTTCTTCATAGTTTTTATACTACTATTTGCCTTAAAGGGATGTGTAATGTATTCAAAAATTGCTTTAATAAATGGGTTTATCTTCGTTACCTTGATTATTAAGTTGAAAAAATGTAAACAACTTGATTAGTTTGGGAAGTCAGTGGAAGCTTGGCCATTTGAATCTCTAATCCTATTAATTAGATTGTGATTGGATTGATATTTACAGTGCAGTAGTGTTTAAAAAGAAGTGCTGGTCTCTTCAAAGAGAACTGTGTAAGTAGTTAACTCCCAAGTACTTTTGGGGGTTTATCAGCTTGTTTCTAGAAATATATGGCAGATCCAAGAGTATTAAAACAATACTTACCTTCCAAAGAATACAGGGTTCTTTTTGTTGTTGGGTTTTTTTCTTTCTTTTCACTTAGAATCCCTAATAAAATCTCTTTTTGTCAGTGGAATGTTTTGATTACAGAAGGCCTCACATTGCAGTTGATTTTTTTGCTGTTAATTGGGCTACTGTTTTAGAATAGAAAATTGATGGAGCTGCAAATAACTGCAAAATATCAGCCTGTTCAGAGTATTTCTGCATGTAGGTATAAGAATAAAGATCAGAATTAAAACAGAAAGTCAAACTGAACAGAGAAGCCTAAACACCGTCCATAGTTTAAAAGTGAAATGAAATACAGTTTTCTGCAGCTGAGATGATTTGCTGTTTCTTAAAAAACACAGACAGATTGAAATGACTGCAAAACACCTCTTAGAAAAGAAGTGTAGAAGAATGCAACAAAGGTATTTCTGCACAGATACATGCAGATAAATGAAGTGTTACAATATTATTGGTGTAGTTTGTGTGTGCAGGAAGGAAAATGTCAGAATGATAGAAAAAATAAGGACAGCTGAGAGGGTGGGGTTACACCTCTGATGGTGATAGTTGGGAAATACAGCTGCTCTCCTATTTCATTGTCTTGCTGAAGAGAACATAGCTCTGTGAATAGATTGTGGGTGGCTACTCTTAATAGCCTGAGCCCTGTGAAACCCTGCAGGAAGCTTGACATTGAGTAAGACTGTATTATTGTCATTCCCTGATTGCCCCTCTGTGCAGTTAGAGCATTCAGTAAAGATAGTAAGTCCAGTTGCTAGCCTTAGTGACCCAGGAGCATGGTACTTGAAGAATCTGTGCCGTTGTGAGAGGCAGAAATAATCTTGGAAAATCTAGAAACCATATAAAATAGTCTGGGGTTTCTTTGACTAAGGCGGAGGCTAAATTTCTTAGGTCTTGTAAGCTTTGCAAATAAATATTGTGCCATCAAAGTTAGGTTCTAAATCTTTGATGGAAGTGCTGGGTTGCAACTTTATGTTGAGGCTTAGGACCCATTTTCCATTTAGAGCAGGAATCTGGCTTTTCTGAAAAAAAGTCCTTTTTATAGTTTTTGCTCTTTGAGTACATCATACATTTTTTTCAGAATTAATTGATAAAGTTAATTGATGAATTTATGCATTTAAATTAATTTGAAGCTGAGGTATCTTAAAAAATGCATAACCTCTTTTTTTTTGCCCAGAATGAACTTACCGTAAAATAAGAGATATACTTCAGATTCTCCCTATAGTTAAAATTCATTGAAAACCTATCCTCAGGCTTCCTTTGAAGAAAATAGATCATAATTTAGACCTTTTTTTTTTTGCTTATTGTGGACTGTTGATACCAAAGGTAACATACATCACAGGTCAGGATGACTGCTCCAGAATTACTTCCTCTGAGAGTATGGGAGGAGGAGCACTGCTTTATTAAAAGACATAGTAGTCTAAGGGTTTTCAGGATGAATCAAAGGAGGACCCTCATGGAGGGTCCTGGCAAAAGCAGTCTGTGCTGCTCTCTTCTATGCAGCCACTGCTGTAGTCACTTTTTAGCACAAAGTAATCAAGAGCTAAGTGCCATGAAGAAAAAAAAAAATACATATTGCTGGCAAAAGGGTTTTCCGGGAAAAAACATTTTGAACCTAGTTTATCTATTGGATTTACCAGATGACTTAAATGAAAATGTATTACTAACTAGTTGTCCCATAGTTACACAAAATGAAGATGCGGTTTTGCAACCTGAAATTCTTGCTCAGTTTTTATTCAGGCAAAAGAAAATTTTAAATGGGTGTACTGCCAGAGTAAAGCTCAGGAAGATTTAATAAAAATGACACATTTCTTACTGACATCAGTTTTGACTTTCTCTTCATCAGAATTAAAAATTCAAAAAGATAAAATTCGTTTCCTGTCTTGGCTTGGTATGCCCAAGTTTTAATAAACTTCGGTTCATTTTGAATCATATCCTTCAATTTTTATTAACTTGGTTTTAATAATTTGAGTAATCTTATTTGCTTTTTACAATGCATACGTAGCTTCATTTTTTCCACTTTACATTTTTATTCATAGGTTTATTTTTAGCTCTTCCATATTCCCTATTTCTGCGTAGGCTTATTTTTTTGGTCATTGCTATTGTCCTTAAATTCCCAAATTTTAAGTTGTGGCTGACAAAGTGCAAGGAAAAAGCAACAAATGTAGCAGCTATGCAAATGGGGGAATATTCACAAAGGCTGACAGAAAACTGGTAATAAGCTTGTTTTCTTATGCTCTGCCTATGTTCAATGGAGAGAGGGATGGACTTCTCTAATGGTCAATTCTGAACACCTACATAAGGCTTCACTTTGAAACTTTCTTTGAGGCTCATCTATTTTCATTGTCTGGGGGGAAAGACCAGCATTTCTAAGATTAACTCAACTTCCATGTTGGCAAGGAATTCATAGCTTTTGAATAAGAATCTCTCAGATACTGGTGCATCATGCAATAGTAATGCCTCTAAATGCTGTAAAAGTAAATTTGTGAACACTAAATGTATCCCTCTGAAAGTAAAAGTACGTTTTGTACTGAAGTACAAGTCTGCATGTTTCCAAAAATACTGTAGATGGGTGCTTCTGATGACTGAGCTTTAATAATGGAGTATACGTCTGGGGTTTGTTATTATGTTGATTATATGACTGTAGCTATCTCTTCGAATTTCCTTTAGCAGGCAGCTCCTGCACTAGTTTAAACATTTCTTTATCTTGGATTAGCTCCATGTGAGAGTTTTGTTTAGCCTTGTGCTTTGTTATATCCAACTGGGATTAAAACACAAACTTTTTCTTACATAATAGTGTATGATGATTTTTTTGGTAAGTAATTTCAAATTCAGATTGTGGGCCACAATGTGCTATGAGGGCACTACTCCACAGATAATCTTTTTCAGGAGTGGAGAACATTCAGCCATGAATTTGAAGCTTTCCTGGCAGTAAGGAAACGTTTTCTACCTAAACCTCACTCTGACCTATTAGAATAGTTGGGGGCCCCTTAGCACAGAAAATCAGAAATGTAGATGTAGCTAAATTGTGAAAAAAAGATGTAGATAAATGTAAAATGTAGATAAATGTAAAAGATGTAGATAAATGTAGATAAATTGTAAATGTAGCAATGGAAAGTACATTTTACATGTTCAGTTTTTAACTATGGTAGAAGGATATACAGAATGCTGTCTTGGATGGTAATTCTGACTTACATAGCAGTGAAAAAGCAAAGGGAGCGATTGGAAAAGATAAAACAAAGGAAACGTGAAAGTAAAATGAATTACCCAAATTTGGGATTGAAGCTTTTGAACTGGATTCTTAAAAAGTCTGGGTGAATGAGAAGGGTGTTCTTGTATGATTGTGTAGCAGATCAGAAAGAAGTTACAGGAAGAGATCTGTAAAAACCTCTCAGTATTTTTTTAAACTTAATTCTGGTGGAGTTATTGCTATGGAACCACTGCTGTATTCCTCTTGTTGGATGTATGTTTTCCTTCTGTCCAGACCACACACAGTTTCATGTTGCTTACTCTGCTTTTTTCTTTTTTTCTCTATATCTTACAAAAAGAAAGTGTGGATTTTCCATCAAAATTCCATGCAAAACGATTTTCTGTTTTAATTGAGATTCTTACAAGCAACTTCAGTTGACATAAATACTGGTTACAGAGGGAATTATAACCTCTCAGAAGCAGGATGTATATGGTTTTGTTTTTCCCTTGGCTAGATTCCTTGCAGGCTAAATATTGCAGTTCTCATCTTGGAGGGGACTAAAATTTAGCCCCTTCTTGTCCCATCAAAGCAGACTGCTTTGCATAGCTGTTTGGACGTTATACAAATATGTTCAATTATCCCGTAATGTTCATACATTTTTCTATCTTACTGATTTGTGTCTGCAGCAGTCTTGACAACCCATCCTTGCTTCTGAGTGCATGCTGGAAATCCTGCTCTGTTCTGTATTTTCACAGGAGATGGGGAGCTCTATACTTTTGGAGAACCTGAGAATGGAAAACTGGGATTATTGCCTGAACAGCTGAAGAACAATAGAGTCCCACAGCCTGTACTGGGAATTATGGAAAAGGTTAATAAGGTTGCTTGTGGTGGAGAACACACAGTGGTGCTGACAGGTATGCAATTTAACTGGCTTTTTTTACAGCCCTATAACTTAATCAGTAAGCTTAATTTACATCTCACTGAAATGTAAGATGCCGTAGTGATCCTAATTGGAAGAACGTTGTACATCAGGGAGATAGAAATCCTCGTAACAGTTAACCTAAGTGCAGGCCTGTGCTGCGCTGTGCTGTGCGTATAGTTTGACGTTCAGGCCTGTGCTGTGCATATCTCTTTGCTGCAGGATAAACTTCGCCAGCTGATTGTAACAGAGGAGCTTACAGGCATCTCCTACTTGGTACCAGTGGTTACACCACCTGCGTGTCCTTGCCTTTATCTAAAACTTCAGCAGCAAGTTCCCATGTGAATGTCCTGTTTATTTGACAGTATAAATGATGAATAGGGTCTTTTTGCTCTCAAGAAAATCCTGTAAGAGCTCAAATGACCAAAATGGGGTAACCTTTGGGATCTGGGATCCCAAGATGGGATCTGCGTAGCATGCTGTGCCTGGCTGGAGGCCTGTTCAATTCCACACAGCTCAGGATTCCCAGCATCTGAAGGGATATGAAAGTATTGATACTATCTTCTTTTTTTTTTATAGTCTTAGCTCCAATAAATAGCATTTTAAGAGATACTTTACAGAGTCTGAGTGCCTTTCTTACTGGAATTGTAACAAGCCAGCACCTCCTAGTGCAACACTTGATTGATGTTCCTTGTCTCTGAGGAGCTTGAAAGTGGTATTGGTGTGAGGGGGGAAATTTTAGAGGAAAGTTTCCATTCTGTAGTAAATTTAAATGACCCTGAATATTTCAGAAGGCATTAGGAAGTCACTTTTCAAGTAGCAGTCTGTTAATAGTGATGGAGATGCACAATCTACTGGATGCCTAAATGGATTAAATATTTCTTGTTGTGATACAGAATTTGCCTGTGACTTTGAGCAGAATTTTTAGGATACATATAAAACTAGTACAGATACAGACATTCAACATATCGTACAAGGTATAAAAATCAGCAAATACAACCGTTACATATTAGTTCACAGGGTTGTATGTCTAGTACTTGGAAGATGAAATATGGTGTATATTACTGTACTATTAAATAGTTGTGTGCCAATGGTAAATTAGCTTTTCAAAGAGATAAATGCAAAGCATTGCTAGCTATTTATTTCCACAAGTTCTATCCTGAATTATGGTAGTATAGAAGCAGAAAAGGGGAGTTTGACTTTGCCCACAGATGATTTAAAAAAAATCAGCTTTGGCTTGTAATGAATTCCACAGCTGTATAATATGCCTGTAATTAATCTCTAATGAAAAGGCAAAAGCTATAAAAACAAGTAGGACGTATAGATATCAGTCCTTAAATCTGTATTTTGAAAATGCTAAAGTCATCTCTTGTCAATCTGGTGGAGTGCCTTCAAGGTTATGTAACTAAAATTTCTAAAATATGAATTTAAAATCTAACTGAAATTGTAAGTAATATGATGTGGTATTGTATTGCAAACCACTGGAGAGAGTAAAGGTGGAAGTGATGTGCTGGGAAAGGTTACGTGTAACAATGAGTCAAGCTGCAAGACTGTGGGTAGGTTAAAGCTCCTTTGGGAAAACTATGAAGAGGAAATAACAGTAGTCAATCCAGGAAATAATGCAAACATTTGTCTACATTTCAATACCTTTGTCTCTCTTCTTCCGCCAACATACAGTCTTACCATGGCAGTATTCTATGTCACAAAATAAATTTCTTTACATGAAATCAGATTATCATTATTAGGAAAAAAATTACCATAAATTTGGGGCCAGCAAATATATAAATCGTAGTATTATTTTATGGGTTGTAAAGTGAACTTCTGCAGAAAGAATTTGATTATCATTATGGATTATTTTTTTAACCATAAATCTGAAGCCAGTTTTAATGGTATTTCATGTGATAAAATTTCATTATAACAAATGATTGTTACAGAGATTTAGTAGGAAGATGTAGACCTGGATGACGTCAGCATTATAGTGAAATCTATACAAGAGCTAGAACAAAGAGGCAAAATATAAATGCCAAAAAACAAATACAGTGAAGAAAACACCATAGTAAGTCAGTGTCTTAGTATGTAAGATTTACTTGCCTATAGAAATAGGTTTTGTAGTAGAAAGCAAGTAAGAAATTCAGTGCTAGCTTAGCTGGCAGTCGATGATCAAAGTGATGAGTGCCAGAAGATCCAGTTGAGTCAAGAGAAGAAGAAAACAATATCCTCCAACAAAATACATTTGCCTAAAGATTAATAGCTGTTGTGATAAGAGTGAAAGGTCAGATAGATTTTTTTTTAATGTAATTCAGCTATTATTAAATAGGCTACAGCTATGAACTTCTGCCTAATTCACTTTGAACACAAGAGTAGAGGATAATGGAAATACTGTCTCAAGTGAAAGATACTTCGTCAGGAGTGTTGACGTACAGAAATTTTTCTGACTCAAAACAAAATTTGGGGAATTATTGGGAAAAGAGGTAGATTTGGACACTGTAATAATTTAAAAAGTGAGTGTAGCGTACATGCATTATAGGCTTTGCACCAGAAACTTAACTTGAAATCAGTTCTGAAGTTTATATTGTATCTTGAGAGGAAATGGCATGACCACAAATTGAGAATTCTGATGAGGGATATATCTTTAAAGAGGAGCAGAAACATTTATACCTCTTTTAAGCTCATTTTCCTAAATTAAGTAAGTAGTACAATTTTGAAGAAATTCTGAATTTCATGTATCATCTTCTATGAAAATGGGTGCTGCTTACCTTTTGTAACACGATATATACTGATGAGGTTTTCATCTTTTCAGGGTCTTTCCAGTTTTCCGGGGTGTGTCATTTCAGTCTTAAAAAATAAAAAGTGAGTGTCTGACTACTGTATATTCCCCTGTTTCATCTATCTCATTTAACATAGGAATAGGATAGGAGAAAATGTCATACGGAGAAACTGTTGCACATCTTGGCTCATTTCTTGTCATCAGTTCTACTTAGGGTTTATCAAATTAGAACAAAGCATAATCCAGTTATCTTACTGAGTACAAGGCAAGTTTCTTCCTGACTCTCATATGTAATTAGTCTATTCCAAAGCACTTCATTTGATTTCTTTTTTATGACTGTCTTATCTATTCTATTGGCAATTTTGTATGGTAAGAACCACTGTTATCTGGGTTATTAAATCAAACTACTGTTTGGAATCTCTCCAGCAAGTATCAGTAAATGGTAGAAAATATATATTAAAATAATTCATTTTTTTTCTCTGAAACTCCAAAATGGGAAACTCAATTTTTTCCCCAGAGAACAAAAAATTAAACTGCTGAAAGCAACTATTTGGAAAAAATCTTTTTAAAGATACAAGGTTTTAGAGATGTTGAATATGGTATTGGAAACCATCTTCTTTACAAGTCTTATTGTTACTTCTGCCGTTAATATTTGCAGTTGTTCTAGAGAATAAACAGAATCACAGTTAAAAATTCTATCATGCAAAAGCTTTCTCTCACTGTAGCAGCACAAACCTATTCATTTCATGACAGTCTATCAGGCAGTTCAAGAAGAGCATATCCTCATCCCAGATGATTTCTCTCAGAGACTAAAAAAAACACATCCACTTCCCACAATGCTTGCAAATGCTTCCTACTCAAAATGAAAACTGTTTGTATTGTTACTTTTGAAAGAAATATGAGAGAGCAGCAATCCCAATCTGCATACTTCAATAAAGCTTTTAAAAAAGTAGAATAACAATAACTTGTGAATCTAGAAATTGGCGAATAAACAGATGATTGGGAGTGGCCTTGATATCTTCCATTTTTTCAGATGATGACAGATCCTCTGGGAATAATCCTTTCTATAACAGGATATATTACCTCCTTTTATCCTCTGAAGGGAGGGAAAGCAAAGATATCTCTTCAAAGGAAAAAGTGAAGCACTCCGTCGAGAATAGATTGTTTGACATAACAATACAGCACATTAGTGGGTTAGTATGTAAAATGTTGGATTTTTCATCTTCTCTCACAAGGTCTTTAAAAAAGAAAAGAAAGTCAGGATACCCTTTTGACAGAGAATGAAAAGGATGAAAAAGCTCTACCTTTTCATGACAGAACTGACTGTTCAAACCGTATAGGATTATCTAGATTTTTCAAGATTTTTTTATCTAGATCTTAAGTCTGTATACTATTTATACTGAAATCCCCAAATCCAATTACTAGCTCTTGTAAAACTGAGTATTGTGTGAACAGCTGATTTTTACAGTAACATCTTTCAACATAAGCTGTTTAAAAATAAAGCTGTTGTAAGACTGAATAGCCCATTGGTGCAGTAGTAGTAGTAGTAGTAGTAGTAATAATAATAATAATTAATAATAATAATGATATTCAAGGGAAACAAATCTGTGTGGAGAGATATAAGTATACCTGTCTGTTTCTGTTTTTCTTCCGTGGATTTTTAACTTTGTCTATAGCCTTAAATATATAGCAAGGAATGCAAGAATCTTAAAAAGACTTGGAGCTCACTCAGTTCTTTCAGCAAATAGCATGTGTTAAAAAAAATCTGAAAGCTATATAGGTTTTTGCCTAGGACTATTTTATTTATAGTGACAACGGTCATGGAGATTAAAGAACTGTTATGTACTCCAAAAGATGCCTGCAAAGGTGGAAGATACACAGTGAGAGGGAAATATCCCTGTTCTTCCAAAAAAGAAAATGTGGGAAGTAAAGGAGAAGCAGTCCCAGCACTCAAGTACTGGAGGTCACTTGGAACAGTGAAGCCATTGGCTTCTGTGCAAGCTCTGAAACCATTTCTCTTCATCCTTCAAGGGCCCTTCTCATGGGCTGCTGCTGTGGAAGCAGCAGCTCCTTCCCTGAGGACAAGACAGGACTTGTGTTCTGTTTCTTCTGGGTGCTGTTAATATGGCTGAGCCTTCCTCGTGATTCACTGATGCACTGGAGGCAGTGCTGCTTCCCTCGTGCTGCGGTGGCCATATGTCTTTCCTCTCCCCTTGTACCACTCTGGTGCTGCCTTGACCGTTCCACAGGAAACTACATCAGCAAAACCCCGCAAAACCTGGCTTACTGAGCTGAGCTGGCTCAGCACATAGCCAGGTGGACAGCAGAGACGGTGTCAGTGAGGACTGAAGAGAGAGAATGGGAGAGCAAAATCTACCCGTTTGCTGGCAGTGCGTTTCATTTGTTTCATCCAACCATATCCTCACTGGGACTGAGGACAGTAAGAAGAACGTGGCAGTGAGGCTGTATCCCCTTTTGGATTCATGCTGTAGGCAAATTCAAGTTCAGAATGATGAAATTCACCTCTGTCATTCTATCACTAAGTCTATGAGGGTGCTTTGCCATAGACTTCTCTTTCCATGTGCTTATAATGACAGATTGAATGAAATACCTTATTTCTGCTAAATGGGATTACTACTGAGGTTTGGCCTCACTTCTGCACCAGAGCGGTCAATCATCTAAGATAGGTGCAATGTTTTTTTCTACCAAGCGAATTTTAGGAGGAGCAAAATTTAGGTGCCCCTGGTCTATAAGGGCAGGAGAAAAAATTGTTCTTCTTATAAAAGCACTCTAACCTGGTTTTGAATTGACCCATTCTCCTCATTGTCAGTACAAATTGGGGAAAGAAAATAGTTTCCTGTACTTTTAAAGTTAGCATTTGAGAACGTCTCCCTCTGACCACAAATGCCTTTAGAGAGCTAACTTGTTTTGTGAAAAAGGCATTGCGTGTTTCAAGCTAGGACTAAAGATAATATGAAAAAACTCCAACTTCACTCAAAATAATTATGTTAATCAGAGAAAGCCATATAGTTTGAAAATGACAAGATCTGCCAGTTTCCAAAAAAATGTTAAAACAAATGCAGTACTTTTAAGCGGAATTTATAGAATAAGCCATCCTGAGAAAGCCATTTACTAAAATGAAGATGAGACTTTGGTTCGCTTAGAGAAAGCTCTTGTCTTTCAGGAGTAGTTTCTTAATTCTTATCCAGAAAGTCTAAATGTCATAGAAAAATTCTTAGTTCTTGTTTTACTTTTTAAAGAACCTGAGAAGGTGTTGCTTTCTTGCTCTGAAATTTCCAGCAGAGGGAGCTTTATTATTACATTTAGTAGAAAAACAGCTTTACTAAATATTTTTCATCTACAATCTGAAAAAGTGTGAGACCATTGGGGTTTTTTTAATGGTGTGAATTCATGACATCTTAATATGGAACAATTTAAAAGGGACAGAAAAGGCAAACCCTTTCCTAGAAAGAACATTTCCATATGTAGTGTTACAGTATTTCATCATATTTCCTTTGAAATTGGAAAGTTCAATATAAATTATTAAGTGTACTATGGTAGTAATATGGAATCTGGTCTGTTCTCTGCTTTCTCTAAAAGAAGGATTCGTTTGGGGGAATGGTAACATAATTTGTTTTTATTATTTCTCCAGTTTGTGGCTGCTCAATTTGGTCGCGCAGTATAAACTACTTTTGTGGCACTGAAACTTACTTGCTATTCCAGTGACCTTGTTTCCTTGACACAAAGAAGTGCTTAAAAAACAAAGATTCTCTGTCGATTGTCGTTCCACACATTCAGCTGTGGATACCCGTTCCTCTCTTGCTTTTGAAGGTGGTGAGATTTTTGACCTGATGTCATCTGTGCAGCAGGAGCAGGCATGCTCTGCACCATGTTCATGACAATGATGTAACGATTTATTGCTCCCGAGTCTCAGTTCTTTTTGTTTGACGTAGAGTATTTTTTGTCCTTCTCAATCTTTCACAGGTTTTCTTAACAAATTTTCAAGTTTTAATTAGTACTTCTCTAGCTTTTCCCTTGTTGCCTACATGCAGAAGAAAAAGGGGCAGGGAATAAAATTCCAGGAAAACATCTACTTTTCCCAAAAAACCTTAGTCTTTTAATTTCCCTTTTCAACTGTGACCTCATCAAGATTTCCAAGCATCAGGGTCTTCCCCTGTTGTGATGGAGTGCCAGGGATGGACACACCGAGAATCTTTATTGCTTTGGAGAAACTCTCATTTTTTTTCCTGGCACAGACAATCCATTAAATGGACAAAATATAAATGTGGAAAGATTATTATACTGTCACAAGATAACACAGTTATAGTGTTCTCTGTGTTTAATGCAGGGCTGATTTGGTAGCTGAACAGAATACTGAAACCTATTCTGTTATTGTTCCAGTCTCTTCTTACACACAAATTAGTGTTGGTTTAAAGAGGTCTAGCCTATTCAATTTAGGATCATACATGCAGGTAACCAGAAATTAAGATGAGGTTGAAAATGCACATAAATGTAAACATTGTGGTCATGAATTAATTGCAGTATGTAAACTCCCATAAATTTTTTGTTAGCTGATATTTTGTGTACATGTGATCATGTAGTTATGTTAGAAATATATTGCATATTGAACCATTCAAAATTCTTTTCGGTATATATTTTAGGGCTTCATTGCCTGTTTTTTATTTTGTTTTAATTTGTTATTAGTTCATAAATTTAATTGATTAGTTGATACATTTTTTAATTGATAGAACACTGCTTTTTGATGCTGATATCATTTGACTTTCGCTTGGCTAATAGAAAGCAGGTTATAATGTATATATCAACATATTTGTTGTTAACTTTGCCTGTACATTTTCAGAGACAGATGTATATACTTTTGGACTTGGACAATATGGGCAGCTGGGACATGGTACTTTTATTTTTGAAACTTCAGTACCGAAGTCTGTGAAACACTTGAGGAGGCATAAAATATGTAACATTACTTGTGGGGAAAATCATACTGCTGTAATTGCAGGTATGTAAGTGAAAAATTCTGAAGTGCACTTCCAGTGACTCTCTATTATACTGTAAAAGTAAAAGCTTTCTTTATAAAATGAGCAGTAGAAGAAGACATATGCAGACTTACTAGTTCTGAAGATTAAATGAGCTAGTGAGAAAGCCAGATTTTATATTAGGAATTTCTGATTCACAGCCATGCTATGCATAGTTCTGTACATGGTATCTCCTTGGGAATTGTAACCTCATAATCATGCCTTGCTAACAAGTATTCTTGTTTAGAAGCCTTTGTTTTGCTATACAATTTCAACCTTAGTGTTTTGTTGTTGGAGGTTTTTTCCCAAAATTGTCTAGATTAACTCTAATTTCCGACAGTACTTTGTCCTAAATATATATATATATTTGAATCATATTCATCTGATGAAAATCTGAAAATAATTGTTCAGGTTTTGCTTTTGGAAGAGAAATATTCCTTACTTACATGGCCTGTTACTTTTTTTGTAATGGTTTTGTCCTGGTTTTGTACTGAATCTTTGTTATTAATAACATCCTTTTTTTTCTATATACAGAAAATGGCGTCATGTTTACTTTTGGAGATGGGCGACATGGCAAGTTAGGACTTGGAGAAGAGAATTTTACAAATCAGTTTGATCCCACTCTGTGTTATAATTTCTTGAGGTTCACAGTCCTTTTGGTAAAACTTTTGTTCATGCTCCTCATACATCAAAATGTTTACATTTTTATGAAATATGTTATTAATGAGAGTTGAAATCTCATGATAGAATTATTTTTTTCTACAACATTTAATTAGTAGACAACACAAATTGAAAGAAAAAGGAAATTATATTTACTTATCACACTGTTCATTTAGTTTAGAATGCACTTGGCTTGGACTACACATATAGACTGCTTTTTAGGGTTTTATTCAGTAATGTGCTATAGTATTTTAGTCTATAGAGCTGGTAATAGCCTATAAAATTAAGTATTTGTTGCTCTTAGATTGTTGGCAGTAGGGGGGAAACTAATATCTGTTCTGAAAACACTGGACTGACATCTTTTTAATTTTAATGATTATTTGTACAGTGGGATATTTATTAAATCTTAAGAAAATTTGAGGAGTTGCTTTTTTGAATCCAAACGGGATGAGAAAGGAGAAATACTGTTCTCTTTGAAGGGTATTGTTCTCTTCTATTTCCTGAGGTGTTTAAGAAATATCACAGAATTGCCAGCATCAAAAATGCAAACATGACTCAGGATTGAGCAAAATTTGGGACTAAAGTCTATGGCTCACTTCTGTTTGTTTACTGGACTTAGAGTTTAAGGAAGTTTTATCAGAAGTGGTAAGGGATTTAAACTTTTTAGAAAGTGAAACCTCTGATCGTCATGTAATTATACTTTGTCTTTTGGAGGGTGTAGGACTTGTGTTACATTTTGTGGATTTTGTGATAAAATATCTAGGTTTGTATCACTGAAGTTATCAGTATTGCCCACATTTTGCATCAAAATAATTAGCTCCAATCTCTTCAAAATCGGTGGAAATATCTTTGCTTTCTTCTGTATCAATAATTTGATAGACCTATCTTGTGTTCTGTTCAATACAAATATGTTGTATTTAAGTAAAGAGAAATGAAAATAGATCACTAGTCATTAATAATTGTAATTGTACTTTTATCTTGCTAACGTCATTAGGAGCTAAATTTGAAGCAATTTAACATCTCTTACTTTTATTATTTTTTTTTTATAATCTAAGTCCCTGTATTGATACTTGCAAATGAAATAAATAGACCTTTTTTTGGTGCTGTAGGTTGCTTGTGGTGGTTGTCACATGCTAGTTTTTGCTGCTCCAAGACCTAAAGGATCTGAAGAAACATTCTTAGAAGATTTATATGAGAGCCGTTTGACTACTACTATCTCTAAAATGAGTGGAGACTCACTACTATCAAACACCCTACAACTAACATCAGCACGAATGCGACGTCGAGAAAGGGTAAATTCAGAGCTGTTTAGAGTTGCCATACTTGTTTTAGGAAACAAAATAACTTTTTAAACTGAAATCGCAGCATATACCCAGCAGATAAATATATCTCCTTAAAATATGTGTTTAATTTTAATGTATAAAAAGAAGAGTGAGTATCTACCCTGGTCCCAAAATTGATGTAGTAAAGGATAGGTATTGGTCAGATTTTGCTTGCTTATTTCTATGAAAAAGACTCAAATTGGTTTTGTATTTTTTTTAATTCTAAAATGTAGAACCTGTTCCTTTGCATTTTTAAAAATGTCTTAGAAATATTAAAAAAAAGAACAAGAACCTGACTCTTTTTGGTGTTCCCTCTGAGTCCTTGAATAGATTAAACAAGTTCATAGTTTATAAAATGTCAAAGGGGAACGTTTCACAATCAGCTTAAAATGATCCTAAGATCGTATAGCTACTTAAAACAGTAGTTTCTTCTTCTTCATCTCCACTACACATTCCATGTGATTTCTTTAGCAGCACAATGAGTTGGATCATTTCACTTACCTGTCTGAAAACTAACTCTACCACAAAACTACGTTTATTTTGTAAAAATATATTGATGCTGTGGATTAAGTAACTCAGTGCTATTTGAGAAACTAGTATTTTCATTTTAAATAAAAATCAAAATTCTTTTTATCCTTTGTCTGTATTTTAAGATTGCTTGAGATTATTGTGTAGAAATGACATAAAATATCCCAGTATATCTCTCTGCTTTTTATAAATAATTAAAATATTCAAGAAATTTTGTTTATGCTTTACATACAAAGTTACAACACTGTATCATCAACTAAAGGAAAATACCACTGTTAAGTATGAGAGGTTGCTTACATTTTATTCTTCTACTCTTATTCTCAATAATTTTTTTTTAATCTTCTAAAGGAAAATTCACCAGAACAGTTTATTCGAATGGCACGAACTCTGCCTCCAATGGGAGAAAGCTTCTTAAAATCTTCATTGCCTGTGACTAGCAACACTAGCCCACTCTGTTTTTCTGCATCAAGTCTTCCTAAAGCTGAACCTATGAAGGATAGAGACCATGAAAAAGGTGAAGTGTCCCCACATTTTGTTGCTGTTTTCTGAGAATTATGTAGTTTGGCTCGCATCATTCATAAACAAATGCTCAGTTTGAACATGAAAGAAGGTTTAAGTTCAGTCTTACCTCAAGAGGGTGTAGCATGAAAGTTGAGAAATGCATACAAGAAATTGCCTCACACTTGGTTCATGTTTGGAAAATGTGCTTAAAGATTTAGAGGAGGGTTGAGTGAAAGAAAAACAACTTCTGAATCGTATCTGAGGTTCCTCAACCTGTAGAAATATGACTTCACAAAAATACTGTAAGATTAGTAACCACTTTCTCCATTTTCGTGAAAAAATTGATTAGGAACAGTTGTAAAGACACAGGAAGGCCTGCAAGAGACCTTGGATAAGAAAATAGGTCTAGTAATTCTTATAGGAGCTTTCTTCTTCACTTGGAAATGCAGAAGTACTCTTCACTCTCTGTTATCTAAGATAATAAGGATTTGCAATATTCTAGCTAATGCAAAAGCCTGGATAACAATGATACTGATACAGTGCTGGACTTCTGCACAGATTCTCTAGAGCAGTTCTGGACTTCATCTGTGTTCCTTGGCATGTGTGATTTCCTGCGAAAAGCAATGCTGAAGAGTGCAGAATGCAGTGCTTCTGTGTAAAAGTTAGCTCAGATTTCTTGGACAGTCAAATCCAATTTGAAAGTAATTAATTCAGTTAGAATTAAGATGATTATTTGTAAAGCTGCCAGCATGTCCATTAGCATTTCTGGTTCCAGGAAAGCAGTGAAATTTGAATTGCCTTTAGAGTCTTCTGAAGCCTAAAACCTCAGGCTTTGTACCATATGAAACTGGTCATATACCTGATGAACTTGAGGTGAACCTGAAAATAATGTAGGTACATTTTTATGATGCTGCATTGAAGTTAAACTCACTGTCTCTCCATCCGTTACGCAGATAATGTGCAATGTAGATAATACGACTGCAGCTAATTTAGTCTAATTGGTACACTATTATTAAAGAGATTATCCAAAAGAAGCTTTGTCCTATGTGATATTTATGCTTTGGAAGCCTGCAGAAATGGTCAGAGATCTACAGTGCACTGAGGCCAGATTGCTGAGCTACCTCTAATGTTAATACTGATGAAAAGGAGGTGGAAGTGTTTCTGCTGTGTCTTAGGCTGGGGGGAATGAGGAATCTCAGGACTTCAGTCCTATGTCAGTAAAATAGAGATAATCTATATTTTACAAGAGCAGGGTGTTCTGTTTGCTATGTATTGCTTGTTCCTATGGTATTTGTTTTCTTCCCCCTATTTTACCTTAAAGAAAAGAATCATCAAAAAGATAAATCTGGTGAATGCTCTGCAGAAGAAGATTCAGATAATGAAAATAATGACAGAAACCTTGGAGATACAACTGACATCCTAAATATGGTAATGTATTCCACTGATGAATCTGTGATTCAATCATTTTTATGCAGGGGAAGAACAAAGCAGCTAAATCATGTTTCAAGTTCTAGTACAGAACTCCTGGCTTGCCCAGAATTTCATATGTGGCATCAAGAAGTACTGACATACTGTTAAATGAACATGCATTTCTTATCATCATTATTCAATGCTAAAGTTTGTTTTCATTTTCCAAGTAATGTTGTAATATGAGGTTGAAGCAGTCCAAGTAGTGCAGCCCCTCCCCACACTTTAGCTCTGGATGTCAGAAGAGGAGAAGGATGCTGGATACCACATGGTGATCTCTATCTCTGACCTTCCTCATCTTGATGATTTCCAAGAGAGAGAACTGCAGAAAATGAAGCAGAGAGCTGTCTTTTCCTGTTCCGAGAAGAGCTTTTTTAGTACGGGTGGATCCCATTAAAGGGAAGACCAAAATGCAGACATTTTGATTATTTGGTGATCCCCAAGCATATTCCTACATATTTCTCTTATTTAAAAAAAATGTTAATCTTATCACTTGCACACCTTTCCAGAACATTTTGTTCTCTCAATCTGTTACAGCATAGTTGTTTCAATTTTTCTAAACTGTGGCAACATAGATCTTATTGACAAGCGTGACAAGAGGAAGAAAAACCTTTAATATCATATTGATAATACAAATTCTTGGGAGTCAAAAATCAGAACTGTCCATGCTTACTGTGTTGAAAAAGAATATGGTGCTTAAACCATAAGCAGTTAACAAACAGCAGCAGAGAACATTATCTTGTCATTTGGAGTATATGGGAAGGAATGACCAAAATCTCACTTGCCCACCTAGTATTCTACATTGCCTTGCCTTTTCTTTTTTTGCTTTATATGGAAGAGATAAAGGCATTAGATTCCAATGAAAATTTCTGCTGTATAATGTTTCTTTGAACATGTTCTTTCAAGGCTGTGCTATCAAACTGGATGTTAAGTTGAAGGTTGTGATGATAAGGGAGTAAGGTGTTATATTTGTAGCCACAACTTCTCAGTGAATGAAAGGTGGATCTAAAATATGCTGGCAAGCTGTAAGAGAGGGCATGTAGCTTTCAGGCTCTACAGACAGTTTGGATGTTGACATCTAAGCTGGTTACCACTCTCTCTTTTTATAAGGAGTAAATGAGGGAATGGAACTGATATAGGTGAGTTGAGTGATCATACAGATTTGTCTCAACCTAATAGCTCTGTATAGTAGAACTGGGCTTTGATGCTGCTTTCCCTATTAGTTATATTTATGTTTTTAATAGAGATCTTACTCTTTGCAGACACATGCAATGAAATTGAATCCCAGTGACCAGTCCTTAAAATTATCACCACTCGAAAAACAAAAGGTACTGTAACTATTTATATATATACACGTATACTTATACTGATGTTTAAAAGATCTATGATTCTTGTATTTTCCTTGTACTTTATTGTTTTGCTTTGAGTTTTAAAAAAGCTAGGCAAGTTTTATAGGCCTCCTCTTGCTAATTTTCTGAATATCCATGAGGTAAAATTCTAAGAAGCTGATAGAAGTCAGAGAGAATTTGTGGATGCATATAGAACGCCTCATATCCAGCATAGTTTGAGATAAGAGTATATAATACTTCACCGGTTTAAGGAACAAAAGACTATCACATACACTTTGTAACTTATGCTGATACATACATTTCTACTGGTTTGTTGATGTTAAAATATTTTAATTGACTTTTGGGATACAATGTAAGTAAAGATTTTATTTACAGAAATTCACCATGGAGTATATTTAAGGAACAATAATACTGGTTTTAATTATGAAATTAAAATACTTCTGTGTTCTTTCTATTTCACTCCTAAAGTGATCCCAACATTTCAGCATTTTGGTATATTTCATTATAATTTTATTCTATATTTAAAAAATTATTCTGCAGAATTTGTTTAATAAGTGTAAAATTTAAAGCAGAAAGACAACAGATTTTCAGACTTACTAGAAAAAGCGTAACAGTGAGTGTATCAGAAGATTTCCCAAAGGGAAAGTTGGAGGAAGGTGTAAGAGAACTGAAGTTCTTTCCTTCTGTTCGCACAGCCTCACACATTGCATGTGGTCTAGCTTATGGGACACGATACTGGCTGTATAGTTCTTCTTGCATTCACTTTGTGTGCTTGGATAGTGAAAAAGGAGTAGTAGTACATTTATCATCAACAGAATGTTACATTCTTCTAATATGTGCACTTGTAAATTCATTTCATGTGAAAGACTACCTTTTATGCTATCTTTTAGTCCCCTCATACTAAGTGTTTCTTTTCTTCAGATGTTTTTGTAACCTTTTTCTTTTGCTGTCATTTGTCCTTAATGCTTTCCTTCTTTCTTTTTAATTTTCTGCTTCTCATGTGGAATAGAAGAACAATAAAAATGTGAAACTGAAAAGAGATGGTAAGGGTGGGCTGAAAAACAAGGATTCTCATTTCGTGAAGAAGGGCTCAAAATTAGATTCTGGCTCTTTACAAAAGCAGTCTTCACTTTCAGAATCACCGGGACAAGATTTAGAAAAAAGTAGTGCCTTTCTAGGGAAGCCTGTGGCCAAAAAAAATACAATGAAAGGTAAATCGGAGCATGCACAAAGTGTTAGTACTTTGAAAAGTGGTGTTCAACAAATTACTAGGGACAAATGCAGATTAGTGAAAAGGGAAGAAGAATATGTGGAAAATCCTGAATTTGTCAGAGAGGAAGTAACTTATAATAATCTTCATCTGACTGAAAAAACAAATTCTTCCAATAAAAAGTCAAAAGCTGTTAAATCTAAGCAATCTCTTAAAATAGATGTACTTCCTTCTGCATCCAGGGATCGGCCCCAGACTGATTCATTAATTGTACAAAACCACAATCCTGTTAAAAAGCAAGGAAGTCAAGAAGCAGTAGAAAGTCAAAACAAAATAAAGGATATTGTTGAAAAATCTGATAAATGTGAAAGAATATGCGTCAGAGAAGAAAGCAGTGAAGAGCAGAGGGGTTTTAAAAAAAAGGATCAATTTTTAAAACAAATAGCTGTAACTATGTCATCATCTTTGTCTGAGGAAAGTAGTAATGATCTTGCAAAATACGTATGTAAGAGTAGGGAAAAAGAAGAGCACCACTATGAAGACAGAGAGATCCAGAAGGCAATGAAAACAGTAGAAAATGTGAAAGATTTGGACTTAGAAAAAGAAGACAGTGAGATTGAGGAGATGCAAGCTACAAACAATGAGAAAGAATATGTAGGAGAGACTGATATAAAAAGTCTGAATAATGAGGAAGAAACAAACTCTGAAGCTAAATCTGATGAAGACAGGCAGTTAGAAATTAAGAATGAGGAGGAATCTAATCAAGAGCAGGAGAGTGAAGGCAGTGAAAAGGGTGAAAGTGAAAAAGAAAAACTAGATGAAACAGTTGACAGTGGAGGTGAACTAGGGGAGGAAGAAGAAGAGAGTGAAGTTAAAAAAGATAGATATGAAATTTCAGTAGAAAGAGATGAAGATGAAGAGGAAAAAGAATATGAGGAAGAAAATGAAAGAGAAGAATCACAGGCTGAAAGAGACAGTGAGAATGAGGGTGCAGAAGAGATTGAAGAGATTAATCAGGAAGATGGCAAAGAGCAAGGAGATGAGGAAGGCAGGTTGATGGAGGAAGAAGAAATGCTGAGTGAGGGAGAAGACAGGGATATGGAGGAGGAGGAGGAGGAGTATGCAAAAGAGGAAGACACTGAAAAAGAAAAGGAGGAACAGATTAAAAGTGAGGGAAGAGATGAGAGTGAGGAAGGAGGTGAAGATGGAGAGGGTGAGGAAGAAAAAGAGGTAGAGGCAGAAGAGGAAGGAGAAGGTGAAAAGGAAAATGAAGAAGAAAACAGGGAGAATGAAAAAGACAAAGAGGGTGAAGAGGAGGAGTTGGAAGAATCATTGGCAGGGAGGGAAGAAGAAGAGGTATCCGAAGAAGAACAGGAAGAGGAAGATGCAAATAGGAGGACTAAGGAAGTGGGGGAGGATGGAGTGGAAGAAGAAGGAGAAGAAGGGGAGCATGAAATGGAAGAGGAAGGAGAAGATGAGGAGGAGGAAGAGGAAGGAGCAGAGGCAGAAGCAAAAGGGGAGGAGGGAGAGGAAGATGAAAATGAGGAAGAGGAGTGGGAAAGTGAAGAAGAGGAAGGGGAGGAAGGAGAAGATGAAGAAGAGGGAGAAGGGGTGGAAGAAGATGGAGAAGGGGAGGAAGAAGAAGAGGGAGTTGAAGAAGGAGAGGAAGAAGAGGAAGTGGAGGAAGAAGAGGGAGAGGAGGAGGAAGAGGGAGAAGAGGAAGAGGGAGGGGAGGAAGAAGAAGGGGAAGAGAGAGAAGAAAAAGGGGAAGAGGGAGAGGGGGAAGAAGGAGAAGAGGAGGAAGGGGATGTCGGAGAGGAGGAAGAAGAGGAGGAGGGAAAGGAGGAAGAAGGAGAGGAAGAGGAAAAAGCAAAAGGTAAAAGGAAAAATGATAGTAATAAACTTCCACAAAAGAAAAGCAAAACCAGGAAGCCAGGGAAGACAGAAAGTACTGCTTCACCAAATAGCTCTAAACAAAAAATGAAGTCCAAACAGCATGTAGCAAATGGTTTACATAATTCAGAACAATTTTGGAATAATGTGCTACCTCATTATTTAACACTAAAGTAGCATAGACTACTGGAGATGCATTTTAAGCCTATTCAGGAAACTTTGGAACTATGGCAGATTGATTTTTATTACTTCAAAATTTTTTTTCACGTAGTCAATTATTATGCATATACCTTAAGTGCCAATTTCTTGAAAAGGACTGAAGAAAATGCTTAGATTTGGAAAGCTTTTGTGAGAGAAATCATATAAATTGTTGATACAGTCATTTACACCATCATCTTTATCATGTATGACACAGATTTAGAAAAATAATTACTGAGGAGGCAAAATGTGTTTGCCTCTTAATTAAATTATAATGTCATGCTGACAACATGAATTATACATTGTAACAGTGTAATCTTCTTTGCCTTTGAATCAGATTTCTTAAGGTAATGCATCCGTTTTACCTGCAGGATAGCTTACTTGTTAATGTGCCTTATATGAAAGGAGTGTCAGTAAATCCTCAGAGATACATATTTTAAAATTTTGGTATCACTCTGTATTCATTCCCCCTACTTTTCTTCTGTTCATATATTGGTAAAATGTTTGAGTACTCAGTGTAAATTAAAGAAAGGACAAGTTGCCAAATTTACATGGGTCGGCAGATGGGAGGTAAATGGCAATACAAGCCTGGGTAAATGGTGGCTTGGGCTTTTTTGAAGGCCTTAAGGTTGACTTTTATTTTGGTGTCAGCACACAATTATGTGCAAAAAGACAAATACAAGTCTCAGAATCTGGCCTAGATTACATTAGTGTCAGAATGCATCTGTTTAGGGATAATTTTTGACTATCACATTTGGTGATTAGACATAATTAGGAATTTGAAAATACACACCTGTAAAACATTATTTTCTTGTGTATACTGTGCAGTAAACAAAAGATTCAGTATCTGCCTACAAAAGACTAAGTGACATTAGTCAGCTAACTCTAAGGTTCTCAAGGAGGGGAATATACTTTGTTGCAGTGTGAAGCGTATATATGTTTTCAGGACCAGAGCCTAAGCTTCTCCTCACTGGAGGAGATTCGTGTTTTTCCCTCCTAAAAATCACATCTGTGATCGCCAGAAAGAGGATGATGTAATAAACCAAAAAGCCAGATGGAATAGTAGAGAAAATGGCATGAAAGTCTGAATTCTTTTTGGAAAAGACAAAGAATTTTAATACTTCTGGAGTTTCCTTAAAACACAAAAAAATCTTGCAAATTATTTTTGTGACTTTGTAAGATATTGCATTACTGTTTCAACTATTAGTGGTTGAACTGGCAAAAGAAGGGAAAGGGACTCGTCGTACATCATTATTACTTAAATGCTGTGGGTGCTCTGAGAAATTTTTGTAAACAGATCTCAGTATTGACATTCTCTAGAAAAATAGCTGTTTGAATCCTGTTTGAAAATGAGGATGGGAGAAGAAAAGAATCAAAATGGATAAATGTCATTCAATAAAAGTGTTAATAGAATCAATACTTATGTTGAGATTATGAAACATTTTTAATGTTGTTTTGTAAGATACTGGCATTAAATTATCTTTGACACAATGTCTCCAGAATTTGTTTTCTAAAAAGGCTGTGGTAGATTAATAGTTTGCCAGTAGATTCTAGTTCAGTCCGATCCTTAACTCAGTCACCCTTTCCATATACCGCATTTGAAGGTAAGATCATTTTCAGTCACGTGCCTTATGCCCTAACTGTAACAAAAAGTTAGTCCAGTGACTGTATTTTGTCCCTGTGAAATCTGTTTCAAGCTTTGGGATTTTCTGGAATACATTGTCTTGACATCAGCACGTGTAAGTCTTTGGAAAAGGGTAAGTATCCTCGTATTCTGATAGAGTGGAATATTTTAACAGTTAAATGCACTTCCCAAAAAACCATCTCTCTCTAACAACGGAGTCCTCAGTTATTTAGCAGAAGTGCTGTGTTATCACTGAACTGCTGTGAAAATATTTGCTTTTGAAACTAAGTAGAGTTAAGCTGTGTTATTTTATCTTTCTTAGGAAATATTAGGATGTTACTGTGATTAAACTTAGAGTAATATCGAAAAGTATTTTTATAGGCCTAAACCCATGTTTCTTGGCTATGACATCTACTTATTTGTGATTCTAAAATTCAGCTTTGGAAGAAAACTGTGCTGTGAAAAAAATCTGCTATTTCTTACGAAAAATATTTGCTAGAGAGAGGGGGGAAAAAGTGAGAGCACTTTGAAGCAAGTGATTTCCAATTCCACATAGGAATGGCTCTTCATTTACTGTTTGGCTGTAGCTTTTAATCTGGGATGGGGACCATTTGTTGTTCCTCTCTTAACATGTGCTGATAGCATAAGGCTTCCCAGGAGGGTAAAGGAAGCCAAGTTATGGGCATCTCCTCTTCTTTGTTTTGTCTGGATAAAAATTCATTGAATTGAGAACTGATTTTATATTGTTTTGTGGATCATTCCTGTGGTAGGGGAAAAGCAGAGCATTACTCCAGCATTTCTAAGGGTTTTCCACAGTATCGTTACATAAATTGTAAACTGTGCCAATTTTTCTGGGCTTTGGGGGGACTTTGGAACTCCATTAGCATAACTCCCATTAGTTTGACTCATACTGGTTTATAAAGTTTGGCACTTGTGGTTTTGTGGAAATTCAGTATGTCCTTGGTATTTATTATGGGATACAAAAAGATTTATGTGCAGTACTTAAGCAACATGGCAGAAGTACTCTTGAACTAGTTTTCAGTAGAGAAAAAAAGTCCTTCAATAGAGAGAGAAACAACAGACAACTGCTCAGACCAAAGGTCTGTCTAGTCCAATATCTGGTGGCTGCTGGTGAATGCCTGGCAAAAAACCCAAGAATAGAGCAAACATGTAGTGTTGTTCCTCCTATGTAATCATTCAGTGTACCGAATATATTCAGTATACTCAATAATCTGCGGTTCAGAAGATGTATCTATTGTATTTAATAGCCATTTTTTTCCCATGAATTTCTTTCAGTCAGTTTTTAACCCATTTAGCATCCAGTACATGTTTTGGAAAACAATTCTTAGATTACTTTACATGTTGTTTGAAGAAGTAACTCCTTTTTTTGTCTTCAATCTGTCTTTTGGTACCGTCATTTGATGTCTCTATATTCACGTATTAGAAAAAAGAGCATTTATTCCCTCTTCATGATTTATTCCCTCATGATTGTCACATGGAAAAACTGTTCAGCTATGTGGTTTAAATCAAAACAAGATCAAGGTGGTTTATTGATTTATTAATGACAGTTAACCAGCAATCAACCAACTACACATTCAAGATCAAGAGCGGCAATACAGCAGGGACCAACAACACCAGACATCCATAAAATGTTAATAAGCACCTGCAAATTTCTCAGCACACACTAATCTCAGAAGTTTGAATCCCCCTGCACACTGTCACATACATGTTCACAGAATTACATATGCACATACTGCCTTTTATAGCAGGCATGAATTACAAGCACATATCCCATTTTCGGGGGGCGGGGTGCAAGTCTGCTCTTGGCACACACCTCCTGTTAGAGATGAGGGTGCTCTAGATTTCTTTTGAATATGCGGTAGCACAACTCTTCTCTTATGCCTGCAAAATTTCAGCAGTTAAATTTTGCCATGATTTCTGAAAATATCAAACTATTTATTCAGATAATAGTTCTCTCTGCATAATTGATGCTGAATAACAAAAATATCTTTCTCCAAACTACAGAAAATGTCTGGTTTTAATTCACTATTTTTTGTCCCAGTGTCTTATCTGGATAGGTACATGGTTATTCTTTAGAATGGGGCCTTTAGGAATCATACAGAAATGGACATTTAGTTTTTGTTTCCATTGCTTTTAGTTTTTTTCCTTAGCTTTTCTTAGCTTTAGCCATCTTTTAAGATAAATTTCAGCTTACTTTCTCCAAAGATGACACTGCCTTCTAGATGTTATCTCTCAGAATAGTGAACAGTCTTTTATTTTTATTAATTGAATTTGTGGTGTGAATCTAGTCTTCTGACAAAAGTGTTAAATACTCTAAAACAAATGAGACTGATTAAAGGCAGAGCATTTTTTAATGCAAATTGAGTTGTTTCTTAGTGCGTATAGGCTGGATTTATGAACTGTGTACTCACCTGAACTTCTGTGTATTGTCTTTAGTTTTATAATGAGTATTACAGGAAGCAGAATCAAGCTCAGAAATAACAGGATCTTCAGACAAAAGCATGTTGTCAGATCTGTAAAAAGGCAAAAAAAGGGCAACGTAAACGTAAAAGGGCAAATTCTCAACTCATTTCTAAATGTGCAATTCAAATAAACAACAGTGTTTAGTACTGTGGCAATCTATGAGCAACTGAGCGAATATTTTGCTTGCACAAATGGCAAACCTATAGTTTTGTTCTCAGTTAAGTTCTGAGCAAGTTCGTGATCTGAAGTCACTCTCTGAGTTGTAATATTTTTATACACTTATTCGTATGTTTTTATGGAGAGAGGAGAGGTTTGCTTTTGCATATTGAAAGGATTTTGGAGACATAGCTTTGGCATCAGAAAATTGCACTGCTGAGAGCTACAGAGGCTTTATTTTTCTATTGCAAAAAGAAAAAGCAAGTACACTTAATCACTGTCTTTTTTAAGGATTTGTGATAGTGTCCATTGCTTCTTTGCTTGGCAACCTCATGCTATCAGAATTTAAACAAATATCAATACTATTATCTCAAAAGCCCATACTTAGTTATGAAAATATTTATTATGAGGGCCCTGAAATGTCAAGTGTAAAGATATTTACCATTCT